CGCCCCGCCACTCACCCCAGGACCCCGCTGTAGGCGTTCCAGCGGAAGGTCTGCTCGTGCTGGGTCACGTTGTGGAAGGGGCAGAGCTCGTACTTGTACCTAGGGCCGGCCACAGTCAGGGTGCCCCCACCCGGCGCCCCGCGCCCCCCGCCCCCCGCCCCCACTCACGTGGCTTCTACCAGGCTGAAGCACTGGCCAGAAAGGCTGGAGAGGTGCGGGGGTCCTGGGGGAGGGCGGCAGCGAGAGGTGGGCGCTGGCACACAGGGCGCTGGTGGGCAGCCCCACAGGCCAGCGCTGAGCCTCGGAGGCCGCCAAGTGGCTGGGCAGCCCGGGCCTGCTGTACCCCTCTGGGGTGGTCCCCAGAGTCTCGCCAGAGAAGCCCCAGAGGACTTTCTTGGGCCACGGTCTGCGACTCAGCGGGCGAGGGGCCAGGGAGGCTCCAAGTGGCCCAGCGGGCGAGGACAGCGAAGCCCGCAGAAGGCCAGAGGACAGCCGGCCACCCCCCACTCTAGACGCAAGCTCCCATCTCACTGCTCCCTCCCCAGGGGCCGCTGGGGGAGGGGTGGCTGGGCCAGTGACTGGGGGCAGGTGGGGGGCAGGCAGCTGCAACTCCTCAGAGGGGTCCGCGGGACGGGCCTCTGCTGCAGAGGGCGGAGGCAGGCTGTGGAGCCCCACAGCAGGCAGCAGGGGCTGGGGCGCAGCCGTAGCCTCACAGACACACCCCACCAGATCCCGAGCCCCGGCTGGGGCGGTGGGCAGGGCTGGCCAGGCCCTGCCCGTGGGCCTTCTGCCAAAGCCCCCACACTCCTGCGAAAATAGAGACCTACCCTAAATTGCATGGACTGAGCATTGGGGACCCCCAAAACTAGCTACAGCAAGACCCCAACGGTGAGCTGGTAACTTGCCTAGTCTCCTGGGGTGCCCCATGTGTGGGGCCAGCGGGAGCTCGGGAAGGTGTGTCCAGTCAGTGGGCTCCCGAGCCCCTCGTGGGCCACACCCCGCCCCAGGACACCTTGGCTCCCAGGCTCTGGGGCTTGCGCCCCACTCCCATCGGGGGAGGCAGGGGTGGGGGTGCCCACCCCCCCCTTGAGGCCTGGGGCACATGATGGGCAGGTGGGGCTCTGGCGGGGGGCAGGGGTGGGGGGAGTCATTGGCTGACTAGTCAAGTGTGAGGAGCCTGTGGTGTCCCCGAAAGCCAGACACAGCCCATGGGCGCTAGGCTACCAAGGGGCGCGGAGGTGGGGCCCGCGGGAAAGGGCGGCCCCAGGCTGGGACGACAGCGGTGCCCCCCCCCCACCCCCTACGGGCGCGAGAGCCGGCGGGGTGCTGGGCGCGTCGGAGAGGGAAAGCGAATGCCCGCGAGCCTCTGCGCTCCTGGAAAACACGCCCGCGGCGGCCACCAC